GGTTAGAGTTGATGACTTCTAATCCAGTTACCTCTCTGGCGTGGGTTCGATACGGGAGATGTTTTGGTAGTTTAGCGCGGAGGAAGGTAGTCAAGTACTGGTGTAACTCTCCAGGAACGATGGTTAGGAAACTACCCATCTATATGACTGAAATACTGTTGGAAAAAGGCGTAAAATGACACAAACAAACAAACAAACAAACAAATAATGTCGACAATTGAGAATATATGATATAGACGAAAAACAGAATCCCTAACGAATGTCCAGAATAGAAAAAAAAAAGAAAAAATTTGCAGATCAGTTTGAGCATGTTTGTGGACAGTAATGGTCATTGCAACTTAAACATTAAAAATGTCCGCAGATGTGTTCGTTATTTTTGAATGTTTGTTTTAACTTTAAAACGTAAAGGCACATTATGCCCAAAAATGAATTATTTCATTCTTTAGAAAGGGTTACATGAGTTCTATAATATTTATGTAATTGTATTAGAGCATTTTAGATGGTTTTCTTTTGAAAAACGTATATCTGAGTGTAATATTATTTGTAATAAAAGTAGCAAAATGTAATCCAGGTAGTATTTTGTCTATCATACAAAATAATTAATCACTAAAATATTATTAATTGCAAAACAGCAAGAGAGGCAAAACATAGTTCAGACAATCGGACAACGAGTAACTGTTTGGAAAACATAATAGCACAACAAAATTATAAAACTTTTGAAAGATGTTCATAAAAACATTTCTAAGGCATGATGTGCTTTTCACTAAAATATCTTATGTACACTTTACAAATAAAAACTCAAAATACCGCAATATTTATCGTAGATATTCTTTTCATATTCAGTGTATTTATATTGTTTCCGAAAAAATCGTCTAATTCACTCTGATAGTAGACACTTGTCAAGTGGTTTTATGCAAATATAACGCGGCTTAAAAATCAGAGAAAGGGATAATGTCAGCAATGTCTGGGGATAACAGAACACACTATGACAGGTTGTAATCGTGTAGAAGGATCAATCACATGTGGTGTTTGACATTAGAGCTTCTTTAAATACAACACAGACTAGACGCATTCCTTCTTGATACAAAACGGTGTTAAGAAAGAAACAACAAGTGTGTGATATTTTAGAGGTACAGATAAATAAAATAATACGGAACGTGCTGATAGTTTATAATGGATCAATCGGTAGAGGTTAGGTCTGAGGATGATTTAGCCTTGCAGTCTTTACTGAGGAACGATATTTCATAGACTTATAAGATTTAATTTTGAATGATTTTTTAATTGTATTTGTTTGTCAGGAAATTGCGTCAACAAATTAATATGCATATTACTCCTAAACATAAAATAATGTTTTTATTATCTGCAATGTCACACGACAGCCCATAGATACTCGTGATTACTTATTGTTGAAAATGCACATTTTTATCTCGAAATATTATTTTTCATGTTATGCAAAGTAAAAAAAATCAATCTTCAAAAATATAGAATCGCTTTGACTCTGAGCATATAATAATACTTAAAGAAGTCCCTTGTCTCTATTTATCTTTACTAGCCGGTCTGATTGTTTGTTTTGTTTTGATTGTATGATTAATTGAGTCAAATATGGCATTATTTGAGATTAACGTTCGTGTTTAAACCTAAGTTGACAATCTCTTTGCTTACTGTTTAAATGTGATAAAGTACATGTTAATTGCATTTCAGTTGGAGTATTGAAAGAAATTATGGCAAAATGTATACTTATTTTGACTTTCACCTGTTCATTTACTATATACTCTTTTATTGATATAATGCCAATTTAACGTTATGTAACTGATATCAAGGGATAAAACTAATAAATATATAATGATATTTTCAACAATGTTTATAAATTCCTTACCACTTTCCAAGCCTGAAGTAATTTAATAGTCATCATAACACATACGCATCAAAGGCTCAAATTAGCTTCTTCTTTTGTTTGGTGTTTGTCAAACGCATTTAGTTAATATCTCAACAGTTTTCAGTAACATATGCTATTTCTAAAACAACTATCCTATTTCAGTTCTATTAACAAAACGATTTTCAGAATGTCATTTAAGCACTGCAGGTGTCAGTCTGTAGCTCAAGATCGATGAATTCATAAATACATTTTGTATATAAGGCAATAATAGGATTCGTAAACAAATTCAGTTTTGCAAAATAAACTACTTCTTATGTATAATACACATGATTGTTACTATATAAAGGTCTCAAACATACGTCTTTTATATCGTCGTGCTAGTATTATAAGGTCCTAAGTGCCATTATGTAATATTGTGGGAAATCAAGCTAAAAAATTAGCTAACAGAAAATGTGAACTCACTTATTATGAAGCTACGGACATTATTAATGTTTTCCACCGTTTTAATACACGATACAATTACTTTTTTTCAATCATAATGTATTATATATTTATTCACAAATAACTTAAAACGAACACAATTACAAACCAAAACTGGTATATAATTTTATATAAGCGTATACAATATATCAGCTTGCAAGCATAAATCTGGGTTTTTTGTCCTATATTTTTGTTGTTGTTGTTGTTGTTGTTTTGTTTTTGTTGTTGTTTTTGTTGTTGTTGTTGTTATTGTTGAAAAGCCCGTCTATCTGTCGGATGTCAAGGTTGAAAACCTAGCCGACGACCGAGTAATGACTGATAAAAAAGAACACATTAACCGTTAGAATTCCAACATCATCGGCGATCACATCACCATCAGCATCATCATAATACATTATAAACAAGAACAACGTCTAGTTATTAGTATTTATATGAATTATAGTTATCATTATCAGTAGTAGTAGTAGTGGTAATGGTGATAGTAGTGGTAGTCGTAGTAGTAGTAGTAGTAGTAGAATCATCATTAATTTTAATAACATCATCATTATAATTATCATCAACAGCATCATCATTATCATCAACAGAACCATAGTCTTAATAACTAGAATCACTCAGACGGAACTTGATTCAAGAAGTAAATCATCTTTTGTCATTTTATTCATTACAAATATATCTGCTTGGATCCTCATACTTTGTAAGCGACTAACAATATGTAATCAGTAACAGACAATCGGTTTGTTTTCTGTTACGTTATTCCATATAAAGTTATCTACCTTGAATTTGAGTATCATGAGATGAAATATGTTGTATATTATGACAATTGTATAATGAAAAACACATGACATTTCAATGTTAATTTAATTTATAGAGATAAGCTGGGAATAGAAAAGGAATTAGTATGAAATAAAAACAAATGCATATTTGTTATCGTTGTTAATGTTTGTGCGGTGATAAAAGTTTAATTGTATTTATGATATCATTTAAAATTAAATCGTATAATTGAAAGAATGATATGAAAATATTCTTATATTGTGTGTGATTATATCGACATAATTATAGCGAATATTTATTAATTTTCTCAGTGAAAATATGCCTGCCAGAATAGATTTATCGAGTTGCTTTGTAATCTGTACTATTAGTAATTTAATTTTACGGCGAATGAACATTATTCGTAAATTACCCCTGGCCTTGGTCTGGTGTTAAAACAGCGCACGAGGTTTCCCTAATTGATTTATCCACTCCTCTCGACGGACAAGTGTTCTTAAATGGCCAATAATTGTCTAGAAATGTGTCCAAGGGTCTCAAGTATTATCAATAATTAGGGACAGTTGAGCACGTTTTTTTTCTGATAGGCCTTAATTGATGATAACCCTAAGATATTGCCACAGCATGTATAAAGTAAAAGTACTATATAAGCACTCCTTTTCAATTATTGTGTTTTCAACAGGGAACATGATTCAGAGATCACTTGTTTAAGACACTAGAGTCATATTGTATTGTTTCTTCTTCTACTTCTTCTTCTTCTTCTTCTTTTTCTTCTTCTTCTTCTTATTCTTCTTATTATTGTTATTTTTATTATTATTATTATTTTTATTTTTATTTTTATTATTATTATTATTATTATTATTATTATTATTATTATTGTTATTAGTATTATTATCTTCATCATTATTGTTGTTATCATTATTATTATTAATAATAATAATAATAATAATAATGTTTGACATATGAAAATATACTCGTTCCTCTCTTATGGGCCATATATTTAAACAAATTGTTGTCGTTAGATTCAACAATACCTAAGATTTCTTTTGTTTATACCGCTCCGCTCTTGTTCAACGAGGTGCATAGACATAAACATTCTGTGAAATGTAGCGTGGTGAAAATAGTTTCTCTGTGCACATTTAAATTTCTACGCAACAATCAATCTGCCAAATTATCTTAATTTAGTGTAATTTAAAATTTTATAACAAATTGTTCCGCCACTGACTGACTGTACTGAAATTGCCCTCATTTTAAAATTATAATGATAAAAGATTATTTAAAATAAGCGGTTAACATCAAAGAATTTTAAGAAAACGCTAACAAACAACCGGTATTGCTAAAAGATATAGTACACTCCCTAGCCGAAATACTTACATTTAGTCATGCCTGTACCTTGGGAAGTGTACAATGCTTTAAGAAACTTGCGATAATATTAAATAATGAAATGCATTTTTTCCCTTTTGTTAAATCATTATAAATTGTATGTACACGCGTCCATTTTCGTAAAATGTTCAATTCATTTGCGTAAAATATGCAACTATTTGCTAGATATTTATTATAATCCCTTTGTTTTTATTGAAAACATGCAAAATGATTGCTTAAACAAGCAAACAAGTTCAGAATTCAATGGATATTAAATTTGCTTTGCTTCAAACAATAACAAAAATAATAAAAGCTCTTTGATGCGTATGTATTTATGTAATAAAACGCATGAAAACATAATCCCATAACATGTAAAAAAAAACATAACGTCGCTAAATATGCGTAAATATTATTGGAGATCACGAAGCACAAATACTCTTCTGAATCAGAAGCCTCTCGTGAACATAATCCTTATCAATGCTGTTTTAACAGCTATTTTCCTATGGCGTATGAAACGCTTAGACCCTCTATGCAGATTCCGATCTGATTCTAATTTGGCATTATACCATTTCCGTTGGATTCCTATGGAGCGCTGTTAATGGATAAACGGCAGGGAGAATCATAATCGGGAAAAACGACAGGCCCATGTAATCACGGAGCGGAATTTAAATTACATTTTCAGACCAAATTGAGGACGCTTTTTCGTTTGAAATTCAGTGTTATTTGATTAAGAACTCACAAGAACGATATAATCGTTTAGCGCATGCGCGTTGAGTCACATTATTTTTTTGTAAATATCTCCTTTTCAGAGATGGTGACTGTGTTTTGTAATGCAAATTCCAATAGAAATGGATTAATATGTGGAATTAAATCTAGATTTTTGGTGTGATTTGATATTGTTGCACAAATATGGAGTTATGGAGAAGACTCCGCATCACTGAAATCGTATATTTGTCGCCAGTTTTCTTATATTTTGTGTTTTGTACAGAATATCCCATCGGTACGTATGCTTCAAAATGTTTTTCTTTTCTAAGTGGTATTGATTTCTCAAATATAATCGATCTGGGACGTGTTATAGAGCACTATGTTGTTTTAGACCCATTTAAATACATCTTTCCTGGTATCCTTGTTTTTGTTTTCACACTAAATGCCAATTTAAAGTTTTATAGAATTTCTTTAATGACTGAAATTAGCCTAAAAGCAAATTCAGACATTTTGTGAAAACATCTTATAACGAAACTGAAATATCAATTTGGAAAACAAAATGGCCGAAGTGGAACACCCATGTGTAAAAAGCGCTTATAAAATGATATATAGAATAAACAAACATCAACATGGGGTATTTATTCACAAATGATATATGTAATATGTCGTGGTGTTGTATTTTACTTAGTTTTTGACTTCATATCAAGGTAACATAAGGTATCTTTTTTTAAAAGACATGTTTTTTGTGTCGTCACTGTTGTTTGTTTTATTACAACAATAACAACAATGCGATGTTCACAAAACGCAGAAAACTGTTTTTATGGTGTTTTTTTCCTACCAAAGTATATGTTATAGATATATAAAATACCATAGATTTTCCCCTGAAATAAATAATACACGAGGGATTAAATGTGTATTTATTATAAAACAATTGTGTAAAATTGCATATCATTCAGGGCATTTTAGTCACAATAAATATTGATGCATTTTTGTATGAAACAGTTACTCCTGCGAGTACAGACCAACCTTGTTTGAATATTATTTGGAATTTTTCAAATAGAGCAATTTTGTCACACACAACTAGTTACAACATCCCTTTCATTTTACCGCCCAACCTACACCCACCCCCACCCCCTTCCCCGAAAAAAGAAAGAAAAATGAGCTAAGCTGTTAATTCTTACAATATGAATATTTCTATATAAATTTTCTATACTAAAATACATACTGAGAGTAGAAGCATGTTTATTTCGCTGGTATTGATTTATTTCATTGGTAAAGGCCATACTTTTAAGTCGGTACACATTATTTGTAACTCTATATCAAAAGTTATACCATTCCGTGTCTTCAAAGAATTTTATCTCGAAACGTAATACCGTAAGTATTTTACTTTGAAAAGAAGCTTCTTCTGGTGATGAAGTACAGAGGCCATATGAAGTATGCAATGTGACATGCGACTGAAAATGCAAATTACATGTTTTCTGTAAACTGAATTGGTCTAAAAAGAAACATGTCTATTTGGTTACATAAACATTTTGATGGGTTTGTCGTTTTGATATTTGATTATTACTATACATCAGTAACGTTAAATGTCTAGTTTGTAAAATTGTTTAAGTGTACCAGAATTAATCCATTGGGCATTATAAAGATTTAACATAAAGTCCTAATGCTACGTTCAAGCTGTTCCAAAATGAAAATGATTAAATTCCTCGTAATTTATATTTTATCTGTTATATCTAATTAGTCGTTACAAAATAACACCTTTTGCCCAAAACAGATCGAGTGGGTTGTTAATTGTCAAAAGAGTAAACGTGACAAAGATTTATTTAATATATTCAAATTATGTCAAAGACTCCTTCAAATTTATTCGTTATTTTTTATATATTACGTATATTTAAAAAACACAGATAATTTTACTTACATGTATATATTACCAAAACATTGTATTAATAATGGTAACTTTTGTAATGGTAATGGAGAATATGTCATTGAAACAAATCCTTTGTTATTTACTTAATTCAAGGCAAAGAAACATTATTAATGTACTTGAGTGTAAAGAAGTTGTCCAAGTTTTATAATAATTGAATTTGGTATACTGTTTGGCTTTATATTCAGCGATTAATAACAAAGTTATCGTTAATTCGACCAACGAAGAATGACACATTGCTTAAGACATTTTGTCTGTTTTTTACCATTTCTGCATGAAGAAAAGAGCCGAAAAATATCCGGATGCACAGACCCAAAGTCTGTTTATCAATCTTGTGAACATTCGTTTCGATTTTCCTGTTATTCTGCAAATAATGACATATATTCTTTTATTATTCTGCTATTAGATTAATCAGTGTGGCTTTATTTTGTACTAAATAAAAAAAGAAATGTTCATTATGGCATTCTTCTATTCGACATCATGTTTGTTTTGTAAAATTATATGTGTTAACTTTATGTCTCTGCATTACTTGACGATTTTAAGCTCCATTTGTCCTTTGTCAATATAAATCAGTAAAACTCATAAAACTATGAGACGGTTAATGGCCCTGCATTTTTTCTACTTTGCTACTACATGTATAAAAAAAAACATTTTTTTTCTAGAGGACATTTCTTTATTCTGTCTACAAATAAAAATGGACCGATTTATTCTTCTAACAAAATCAAACAACACTAATATGTTCCCGGAATATTTACAGCTTTTACACGATAGCGCCACTCCAACCCTACTATATATATGATCTGTTTTTCCACACACTTCCATTAAATTTCCCGAGCAGAAAGGCTAAATAACTAAGTGTTTGCGTTATTCTGTTAAGACATGTAGAACTTTGTCAATACTCGATTCCCTTTTATTCAATAACGTTGAAGTGGTTGGTGTCAGTAGTTATTTGGAAGGAGGAGTTGAAGTGGAGTAGACCATTTATCACTGATATTTCCAGAGGGAAAACCATATCGATCCAAGACGTAAAATTCTTATACACTGTCCAATTGCTCTATTTGTGTCTAATGATTTTCTTATTTCCCGTTATAGTAAGGACCGGCTGCTCAATTTTCTGATGATTTTACACAAGCACAATGATTGCTATGTCATAGGAATTTTCTTTTCTCCTGAAATGTGAAGAGTCTTTGTAAACACACATATTATAGTATATGTGTAAATGTGCCACTGCATGTTTTCAATTTATAAGAATTACATATCATATGGTTTTGCATGGTGTGTAGCAATCACAGCATTTTAAAGAAAAAAAGAACACAATAATTAAAATGCACAATTGTCTTTTGAATATGTAGACGAGCTATACATGTTTGGTGCTTTTGTAAATTTTTATTCGTTTTATTTTGGAAAGCCTTTTATTCAAGCATGAAGAATAAACATATAATTTCATAAATCAAAATTATTTTTACTTTCCAAAGAAATACTAAGAGAAAAAGAAACGAAGTTAGAGTACAGCCAATGGGTAGTGAATTATAAATATGATAAGAAACTGTGTATTATAAAAAGACATGAATTACTTTATTATCATCAATTTAATAAGTACATGTATATTTATTATAGACAGGTTGATAACAGAAACACCCTGTGCTAATGAAATATTTATTGAAATCGACTATTTGTTTGTTTGTCTTTTTTCTTGATTATTATATACAAAGCATAGGAAGGATTGAAGTTTCATTTCTATTGCATTTTGTTTTTGATAATTGGTGCAATCAAGATCATAAATGTGATAAACCGATTTATAAATCAACAAAGTTTATCAATACATGTTTCACTTTATTATGCGTTTTCAGTTGATATAAAGCAAAACATATATTCATCAACTTTGTTGATTTATGTATCTTTATTACATACAACCAAGATAACTAATTTTTATTTTTAATCGCGTCATTCTCTTACATAAAAGTTTAAACTTGCCGAAATACATGACGTTTTCAAAGCAAGTGCTAATATTTCGTGTCGAACATGAAAGATTACTTCTTTCCGTTAGCTGTGTCCATTTGAATACATTGTCTGATTTAGCATAATGCACGGTATAATTCCATCACTTAACACTACATAGATGTATGCCTTAAACAACAGCTATATTTTGATGAAATAACCATCTTTTGTTAGTTTCTGTGATATGATGTGCTTAGATTTTCCTTATTTCACATATTATTCGGTACAAAAGTATGTTAACATGTTTAGTTTAGCTGTTGTTTCCTGCCATCGTTTGCGTCTTTTGTGTACTTTCTTTTGTCTTTTGTATATATTTTTTTGTCTTTTGTGTACTTTCTTTTGTCTTTTGTATACTTTCTTAACACATTACAAACTGTATTTGTAGTTTCCAATCTTCCAATGAAATGGTTTTTTTTCCAGTAATCTATTTCAATTCAGCCAAACTATGTTGGCAAAAGCCAAATTATGCTGGCAAAGACCAATTACAAGCATTTGATTACTTTAATTATTTTTATCTTTAGTATGTGAGCAAAAGTAATCAGTCTCGAATTTAATTACTATGATAAGAATTTTAACACACATATTGAACGAAAATTAACACTGTTATAAATTTAAACGAAATGAATAATACATGAATAGAAGAAGAATGTGTAATAAATGCCAATGTAAGCTGACAAAAGTACATGTGTTAAGCCTTGTCATTTCTAATCTTTAAGTTTTGTTAAAAATTACTGGTAATGTAGTACATGTTTAAAGCAGAGTAATAGCACGTTTTTCATTTAAACAAATAACTTACACAATGCGGAGGTTGACGTGTTGAAGTATCAGAATTGCAGCCATCGTTTAACCCTGTGTGATCGTAAGAAGCGGCTGAATGGGTTCAAATTATTAGAGCCTATGCACTTTAGCTTCAGCAGGTTAGGTAGTTTTGATCCCTAATTTTGCTTTTACAGTTTGTAACACCCAAGGTTTGGCAAAATCATCTTTCCTGTTTCGTTACCATAAGACCTAAACTGTATTGGTGTGCCGTAACACGAAACAAAACAAACCTACTCACTTATTTATCAAAACATGTACACTACAGTGTAATAATTTGACTTACAAAATCTAATTTAGCAATGATGATGATTGGAGCATGCCACCAGTATATGTCAGGTTGACATGTATATCCGTGTAGAGTGGCTGGGCCTTACATTTATGGCTGCACAATTTGTGCATTATTTAGAAGAAGTTGAAACCCAATTCAACAAATCCATTAAATAAACGCAGTAAAACAGCGTTTATATGTAATTATGTAATGGGGAAGTTAATGTTGGAATAACAAATATTATTGTACAAACAAAATAATATCGGGAGAATAAGTTCTATCTGATTGAACGCGACTACATTTTATGTGTGCTCGTTAATGCAAATGCATTTACCGTACAGTTATCGAATAGTGATAATAAATCAAATTCAATTCATATGCTACAATGTACATACTATATGACATATATTGAAATATAAATCGTTGTGTATATTTAGATATGTAAAACTCGTATTTTATAACCCAAGCCAACGTAAATAATTTTATAACTTCTACCAGTAATCAAAACGTTCGTGTCTTTATAAGCAGATACATTTATTCTAAGACAAGTCAACGTTTAAATTATAGTAACATTTCAATAATATTTTAGCTGAGTTGGCTATATATTTCATAAAATTGACTGTTATGATGGTGTTTGACCAAAAGTTCATATTTCAAAATGTTAGGGATCATATTATATATAAAGTTGCTTATAATATAAAAGGAATACCCCTTCCATTGAACGTTACATGTAAAGTCCGATGGATATTTACAGAAATTACCTTTGGCCACGTGAGATAAATATCGTTCTTACGAAGTAAATTATAGAATTGGGAGATTTTACATCTTTTTGCATTCACCTGTTCACTTAATATATACTCTTGGATGGGCATACAATCACTTTAGAAATGTACCAATTTTGTTATAATGGCTTTCATAATCTTTAGAATAATGAAGCAGTACATTCTGCAATCTTATAAAGGCATTGCTTACACCTATCTTATGTGTTAACTTCACTTTTTTAAATTGCTTATTACACCTACTGAAGGTGTTAAATACTTACAATAATGATATAGTTAACATTTAATGTTCCTAAATAGTGCTTTCTGTAAAGGGCAGATCAGCAAAAGTACTGATTGTACAAAGCTACTGAATGATTCTACATTTTCTTTGGACAGTGTCATGCAATTAAATTATAGTGCATGCAATGCGAACTATTGTATCACCATGGCCATGGTACATAAGGTACGTCCTTAGAGGCTACAGGACTGACAGACGTCTTGCCGTTTTCATCTAGATTCGATGATAGTAATATAAATGAGAACATATCCATAAACCTGTCGTCTGAGTACACGGAATCAACCATCAACGAAGTTTCATGCCCTTTGTGGAAATATAATTGTAAAAAGACATCATTAATAATTTTTGGATTAGTAAGATATATTACAAAAAGATAACTTTAAAAATTCGGTAGAAGTAGGGGCTAATGGCGTAGTAAAATATAAACGGAATATTTTCAATTGTTTCGATATGATCAATATACAATGTACTATTTTGTAAAACTCATTGTACTTCAAACACATATAATAAGTCCGTAAACTTTTAAGGGAAAAAATGTCCTTTTCTTTGTGTACATGGGAAATATTTGGTCATAAACACAGTAAAATTAGATTGTATTGTCCTGTATTTTTTAATTTGATGTTAACAGTCCAAAATTAGCCTTTAAGATTAATTATTTATAAGTGACGAATGAAAGTAGTGTTTGAGTCAACATTTTGTCCTTTTGTGTCAACAATATGTTGCCCATATTCCCCAAGGCATAGCCAACCAATTCTTCTATCGTGTTTTACTTCATAATCCATTAACATTTTATTTAAATAAAAAAAAACAAAACATAAACTAAAAAATAAAATAAATGAAAATAATTATTTTATTTTCTATTGCAGGTGCAATTTTTGATGAAAACTCTTCTGATATTAAATACGCCTTCGAGAAGGAAATAGAATTTTTAAGTCGTCAACCCGACGCTATTCCAATTAAAGCGGAAATACAATTATTAAAGTCCACTGATAGTTTTGCAGTCAGCAATGCAAGTGAGTTATTTTCTTTTTATCTTTCCTCATTGTTTTCGTTATTCACTAATAAGTATTTCGTTTAAAAATATTCATATAAATGATATACATTCTGGTACATGTTTTGCATGTGCCAGATGAACAAATATAACACGACCAAATAAAAAAAATCGTCGTGGGCATATTTGTGATCTGATATACCATTGCAGAGACATGAGTGACTATGAGTTTGGTTGAATATATTAGTTGAAATATGAATATGTTGAACAAGAAAATGACTTTGAAAGTATCCATGGATTTGGTACTTGTATGTTTTTTGTTGTTGTATTGTTTTATATTTTATTTTAATTTTGTTAGCCCCAATCATTCTCTTCATATTAGAAAGATATTAATGTTATTCCAAAATCACGCATAGCGTAATGTCTAGAAGAATAGGGTCGAAATTCTGTTGGTCATCTTTGTTATTTCATTTATATGAATAAAAAATATTGTAAAAGTACCAACTTTTGCAAATGTCATGTCACAACATGGCATATATGTACACTTAACGAAACTTATAAGTACTCCGACCAATTTTTTATTATATTGTGTTAGAATTACTATAACTAGTCTAAGTCGATACTGTATAAACTTTAATCATAGTATCATCATTTTATAATCATAGTAAATGCATTTTACAATAACTCAAACTTAACAGAAAATCAGTAACTGAGATCACCATTGTAAAAAAAACTAATAACATATATTTTGAAAACCGGAGTTTTCCTGCAAGTTTGAAATCGGAGTACTTATAAGTTTCGTTAAGTGTAGTACTCTGATGATTATTAATTCATTTGACACCTAGTTTTAATCGACAGTTGCAGTAGTGTTTTCTTCATATGGAAGCAAAAAGCACTTTACAATGTCAGTCATCACGTGCTACACATACATATGTAGGTCATTATTAAAAAGATTGTTTAAATGTAGGGAGAAGACATATTTACTTAATAAACACACTTATTTTTATGGGTTAGTCTAAAGTTTTATTTTATACATATTTTAACTTAGCACTATCGCAAGACTGTTTAAGTATTCGGATGTCAAAATTATACTAGCAATTTACGTAATTAATTGAAATAAAAAACAATATTTTATCAACTCCTGTTCATTGTTTAGCCTAATACCATGCTGTAAATAGTTTGACAAATTTTGTTCTTATACTGTCAGCCATTAAATAGAGAACACTGTGTAAACACTATAAAATATCATAAAAATTTAAATAAATAAAGCTTCATTTTAAGTATCCATTCGGTAAAGATTGCAACAAATTTAAAAGATATAGCGTCACCAGAATGCTTATACTACCAAAGGCACTAAATCAAAATATTATCAAAGTTGTTCATTGAAACAAACGGTGCAAAAAACGGAAGTATTACTCTGGAGAAAAAGTTCCATGGTCCATATTTACCTAATTATACACTTATCGTATAATTAGACATTATGATATCAAAATATGTTGAAGGTTACAGAAAATGGTGATTGTTTTGCCCTATTTATAGTGTACTGAAACATACTAATTATACCTCCCGTGACTAATAAGTCATATATTTATTAATTTAAATATTAATAATAATATCACACTGCGATGTGACATTTTCACCAACACGTTGGGAAAAAAGGACTTGCCAAATTAGAGGTCTTCATTTCAAAATGTGTTGCAAATAACATTTCAAAATGTGTTGCAAATAAAATCATTTCAGACATTGCAAAACTTAAAGATAAATTTAAACTTGGTGATAAGTCGCTGCAGTGTTCTTCCTATAAATGTTGGGTGTCCGCGGCCGAGTTGTTACGCCGTTGACTCGAAACCATTTGAAACTCACCGCTTTATGTTCGAATCCCGCCTGGGATTTTGCATTATTTTATATGAGTAAGCTATCAAACTAGTTTTACAGAACGTGGATGGTTATACTCAGGAATCTGCTCCTGCCTGTAATAATGCATGGATGGGTAACTGAGGTCTTCATTCACACTAAAGCTGGAAAGTCGCCATATGACCTATACTGTGTTTGTGCGACATAAAAACCAACTAAAAAACTGAAAAAGTTATTGTCAGAATATTTTCAATATTACATATTATAAAAATTATATATTAGATCCCTCTCCTCTAAGGGTGATATTAGATAATATTAATCATAGAAAGGTGAAGTTTACCGATGTTTCCAAGAAAAAATTTTTCAAACTCATCAGACAGTATGCAAATTCGTCGTCTGTTTCACTGCTTTGTATAATTCATACATTTATATGAATGATATACAAGACAAAATGACGTGAAAAGATATTATCATTAAAAACATAAAAAATATTATAATAATAATACAATAAACGTGCTGAAAATAAGTATGGAAACAAATCAGGCGCAATGTAGCTTAATATCAGGTACGCTGCATTTATTTGTGTTGATGTGTCAGAATCGAAATTATATATCCAAATCGATGATTTTACTGTTTGTCGTTCCAATGCGCATAATTATATTATAATTCCTCGCACCCGAACTCCAAACAGTGATCTTATTTAGCAATAAAATCAATGTTTGGGAAATACTATTTCTTAAATAAAACGTTCTTAGTTGTTTGTACAGATAAAGTCGACAAACAAAATATACAGAACAGAACAGAACAGAAAGTTTATTTTGACGTATACAAAGTACATAGTCAATTACATTAATACATTCATTCATACATACATATATACAATCACAAAATCAATGGATAGTCTGCAAATTTCTTGAAGGTGAACAGTTTAATCTATTTTGTTTCCTTCAGTATAGGATATGACATAATCAGTTTAACATATATTACATAGTTTAATATTGTGTTTCGAACATGTTGACAAAGATAGCGTGAATTTCACATACATTATTGTGCCACTTGCAATAAAGTTATCTATATATACGTAATCAACATCCGATACAAGTGAATAACCAACTATAGTATCACACTATATACTTTTTTGAAGGGGAATAGTACTCCAAAACTACAGTTAACCTTAAACGAAAAGAAAGGGAATGTTAACAATTGGCTATTCCAAAAAATATTTCGATTGCAAAGTTGTAATTTAAGAAAAAGCCTTACGACTAACTTGGGTCATAAGACAAAATAATCTACTTAATACATTTCTTAACTGTGCACAGTCATAAGACATATAACTAATAATCTATTTAATTAGAACTGTACGGTTGACCAGAAACATCCATATAAAGTTTGCTATCTTTTCAACAATGTTTGGCTTACTTATAATATATTTGCATAACTAAATATAACTCATCATCTATTAAATTAGAACTGTACGGTTGACCAGAAACATCCATATAAACACTATTAAGCTTATAATAAATAACATCTTATTTACAACATCAAACTATAAACATACATATATACAAACTAACACAGTCTGGTTGACCAAAGCAACCATATAAACACTAACCGGCATATAATAAATAGAGCACGTTCAATATTTCAAGACAATTTTACACTAATTGGTAATATTAATAATCGAATTTCTTATAGACATTGCGTTTTTACAGTATAACCCTAATTTATAAAGAGCAGTCTTATTTTCTGTTTGTAACAATTCTAAAAACTTATAAACACTTGGTTTGATATAATAATATTTTGCTATAAATTTTTTACGTAAATCTGTAAAGATAGGGCATATAATAACAAAGTGGTATTCATCTTCTTAATCTAGTGAATGGCAATATACAAGTCCATATTTCCTAAAGCTATTTATTTTGAAACGGCCGTTTGCTGATGTCAAACTGGTGATCTATGTTTCTGTTCTTGTAAATTCAATATTTCTGACAAGCTTGAACACATTTAATAAAATATTCTTAAGCAAACATATATTTATCTGAATGTTTTTTTTTCAAATAACGACCTATTTCCCCAGATGTTATCCTTATAAAAAGCTGAGTTTAAATCACTTCTTTCCTTAGAAGTTATACTATACTGAAACACTGAATTGTAACTCAAAACTTGTTCGTTATTGTTTTATGATATCTATTCAATACTAAACCATTTCAATTAAATCTCTGAGAAACTTTAATTACACCACACGGAGTAATAAATCACGAAGAGCAAGACGCGTTATCAAATGTATCTAATGTCAAAGTATTTGAGGGAGAATATCATCACAGAAATAACATGTACATTGTTTATGGAACGGAGGGATAATGCGATTCCGTGTTTAATTTGAGAAGGCGTAGGAAAATATTTGAGTAGGAAAGAAAAGATAAATATTTATGACAAAACTTAGACATACTTTATAAAAAGTGTTGTTTTACCTGCACGTTGAATAAATGTAGACATAGTAAAATGCGATTGACATTTAATTTATGTTAGCAATGCAATACCTCGTTTGATTTAAGATAATTATATAAACCAAGTCCAGCTTATTTTTACCGTGATACCACCAACCCCATTCCATTCTCCTCCTTTGTAAGATTATTCTAATGTAAAAATGATTTTAAATGCTTTGACAAATACAAACTTTTGTAGATATTAAGTTGCCGTATTTTTATGTTGGTAACTTTACGAACAGATCATTTTATTACATGAAGAATGCAACTTTTTGAGCTATATGGTAGTTATTATTATCTTGCCAATTTGCATGTCGGTCTGACTTTACTAAAAAAGCAGTCAAAATCCTGAGCTTTATAATGGTACAATCACTTAATACATATATAACATTGCTCATTCTATTAAACATGTCATAAGCGTTTTTTATCTGAAATGAATTATTCGAATATTGAGGCACTTTTTTCAACCAACATCAATATTCCCTCTGACCAAAGAATGTCTTGATCTTTACTTGTTTATACAGATTTAGACAACACCAATGTAAAACAATATTTAAAAGGAAATGTAATAAAGAACGTCAATACCAATTGTTTACCCATTGTGGGTGAGGGGTTGCTCTTAAGGGCTGAAGCATTAGAATTTCAGCCATTGTTTGCCCGTGCGTGATTGTAAGAGGCGACT